CTTCAGTGAGCATCTCCTTTGTCTGATATTTTATTTTTCAACTGGAAATCATAATCATTTTTGTCCCTGTCAGATAGATAGCTATTACGTATTCTTTTACACACACACACACACACACACACACACACACACACACACACACATGATCCTGGAAAGCAGCAAATCATATGTACAAGTTCATCTCACCAGGATTTTATCTTTTCTCAACTGTCTTCTTTGTCCTGATTGACATAATATTGTTAACATATATCATGATTTTATTCTAAAGGTGCAGTAGTATATCAGTGTTTTCTTGGGATGAGTTTACATTTTATTTTTGTATTTCCTCACTTTGGTAGTGCTTCCTTAAGCAGGCACATTAAAATGTTTCTGGGCAATTTATTTCAGGTAAATGTATTGATATGTGTGTGTGTGTGTGTGTGCATGAGACTGAAGCAGGGTTTTTTTTATTTGTTCTTCTGAGCAGGTGTTAGTCAGAGGACATGTCCTGTTTTGCACACTTAGACTGTCAATTTCTATTAAGAAAATTTTTCTGAATAGATTTTTTTGGGGGAGACCACAGATCATAAGTTTATACAAAATCATAGGAGGTAAAAATAGCTTGAAATACCATATCCTCTCTTCAAATATTATGAATATTTTATGCCCATTTTGTACCTGTTTCTTTCACACACCAATGGGTCCTCCCCATTGAACCTGATTCAGATTTTAAAGTCTTAGAAGAATTAAAAATGCATGGTATGCCCAGCCATTTGAATATGATACAACTGAAGGACTCAGTTTCTGATGCCTCTTTGGTCAGTGTATAACTATTCATCTTCTTCAGTTACAGTAAGCATTGGTGAAAATGGTCATCACCCAGCCTCGTACATGGCAATGTGTTTGGTCCAGTGTCACTAACTCTGCAAGGTAGCTCCCAGAAAGGTGATCATTGACGTAATGTGGACAGATGTCTGATATTGTATAATACCAAAATATTGGTTTCTTTATGCCTTTCCTTATACTACTTTAAGTTTTGCATTATAGCTCTTTGACCCGTCATTGCTTTGAGAACGTAACTGTCTTTATCTCTGTGTGTTTATCTCTTTATTTTATCATAGGGAGTGATGTAATACATGTCAGGTTGTACATAATTAAATGGTCAGATAACTTTCTAAAATGTTTATTCTGATTAAGATGTCAGTGAGGAATAATCCTAACTGTTTCAGGAATTTTAAGAACTCTAATTGGTAATATGTGCAATGGAAATCTGCAGAAGGAAGAGGAAAGTGTCGGTCACTGGATTTTAGAGTTCAGATTCCAGCTGGCTCTGCATGGCCGATGAATTTTCCGAGTTCCTGTTAACTTGGTATGGTCATTTGAGCATTTTTCAGGAAAAGTTGATCACTGTAATTGAACAGTGGTTTTTTGGGTTCTCTCTGATTGTTTATTGTTTTACAAATACCAAAAAAATCCCCCCCAAACTGTGTCTTTCCCAAATATAATACATTAGTTAGAGAGGCAATACTGCCAAAATGTTTATGCAGAAATAGTGGTGAGATTTTGAATGTAATTGAATTCTTCATATAAGTACATCCTAGGTAATAATTTCATATGTCAGAATGCTTGTACACATTAAGTTATATATACATACATATATATGTATGTAGATATACATATATATGTTTATTTTATATATTTTAATGTTTATTTTATTCTTTATTTAATGTTTATTAATGTTTATTTTATCTTAATGTTTATTATATTTTAGAGGGAGAGAGAGAGGAGGGGAGCAGGGAAGGTGCAGAGAGACAGAGAGAGGTGGAATCTCAAGCAGACTCATTGCTGTCATCAAAGAATCTGACATAGGGATCAATTCCATGCTGCATGAGATCATGGCCCCAGGTGAAATCGAGTCGGATGCTTAACCCACTGAACCACTTACGTGCCCCTGTTGTTATATTTTATTACATGTGAGGTGTGTGCAAATCCAGTTGTGTAGAATCAGGAGACACATATTTGTATTAACATCTCTCCTTCTCTCTGCATCTCTTTCTGATTCTTTCTGAGCTCTTCCTCTTTTCCTTATACATTTTATAGAACTTTAAGTCTGGAATGTACACACATTTTTACAGTACTTCAAGTTCAGTAAGTGCAGACTGATACACCTTATATTCTTTTGACTGATGCAAACAAAATGTCCATTATTTCACTTTTCTCATATTAAATATTAATAATTAACTTTTGGCGATAATGTGGAACTATATTGATATAAGCTACGTCAATTTCAGGGAGTACAGCATTTATTCACGTTATTGCTGATAAATTCCATGCCCTTGTCTTTTCATAAGATCATTTCAACCCCCTACCAAGTTGTTTTCTTTTT